AGCCCACTTCCTCTGGCGAAATTTGGGTGTTTAATAAGAACTACACCCAATACATTCCTGTATCGCTTTACGACTTGCAACACTGGCTGCAAGCACCCACCATCTGCGTGTGGGATTGCTCCGAGGCAGGCAATATTCTCAACAACTACCATCGATTTGTCGAGAAGCACGAGGAGGAGGAGGACAAGGCAGCAGAGGAGAACTCGGGCTACGAGAAGACCAGTTTCAGGCCGTATATACACCTGGCAGCTTGCGCTGTGAAGGAAAACCTCCCCACCAATCCCTTGCTACCGGCCGATCTGTTCACCTCCTGCTTGACTACCCCCATCGAGATGGCATTGTGGTTCTTCGTTCTACAGAACCCCCTTAAGACCAACCTGACGCCTGAGAGAGCCAAGAAACTTCCCGGAAGACTGCAGGAGAGGCGAACTCCACTGGGCGAGTTGAATTGGATATTCACCGCCATTACAGACAGCATCGCGTGGACATCTCTGCCGCGGGACGTTTTTCGAAAATTCTTCCGACAAGATCTGATGGTGGCCGCACTCTTCCGAAACTTTCTTCTGGCTCAAAGAGTCATGATGGTATATGGATGCCACCCGCAGTCTTACCCAGCGCTACCGGATACGCATCAACACCCACTTTGGGAGACCTGGGACCTCGCTGTAGACATGGCACTGGCCCAGTTGCCCATGCTTGAGCGCAAGGAGAATGAGAGTATCGAGTATGAATACCAGAACTCGACTTTCTTCACCGAACAACTTACCGCCTTTGAAGTGTATCTTACAAGAGGCGATGCTCTGGCTCAGAGGCCGCCAGACCAATTGCCTGTTGTTCTCCAGGTCCTCTTAAGCCAGCAGCATAGGGTACGGGCTCTGATTCTCCTGGGAAGATTCCTAGATTTAGGACCCTGGTCTGTGCAGCTTGCCCTTAGCATTGGGATCTTCCCATATGTCCTGAAGCTGTTGCAATCAGCAGCAGTTGAACTGAAACCAGTTATGGTCTTCATCTGGGCGAGATTGATAGCTGTTGATATCTCTTGCCAGACTGACCTCATCAAAGATAGTGGGTACAGCTATTTTGCCCAAATTCTCAAGCCATCAGAAGTACTGCCGGTAGTGGATGGTGACGAGCACAAGGCCATGTGTGCATTCATCTTATCTATGCTCTGCAAGGACTACAAGAATGGTCAAATGGTCTGCAACCAAACTGACATCATGACCTACTGCCTTGAGCATCTCCAGAATGAAGGCAATCCGCTGTTGAGGCAATGGGCGTGTCTTTGCCTCAGTCAACTATGGCAAGGCCTACCCGAAGCCAAATGGAGGGGAATCCGAGAAAACGCGTACATGAAATTGGCCTTGCTCAGAAAAGATCCGTGCAGTGAAGTGCGAGCAGCCATGATCCATGCCATGACAACATTCCTCGGCATTCCAGACTTGACCGAAGAAGTTGCCCGCATAGAGGAATCAGTGGCGTGGACGATTTTGGAGATGGGCAACGATGGAAGCCCTGTGGTTCGTAAGGAATTTCTTGTCTTCCTATCTCACTTTGTTGTGAGATTTGAGAACAAGTTCCTTGTGGCAGCATATGATCATTTGGTCGAGGAGAAGGATTATCTCATGTTCCCTCCCCAGGATGATGGGCACGACCACAAAATGGGACTTCACTATGTCAGGCCAGACAGTCGTAACCAAGATGGCACCATCAAGTCCACTGCCTACGGTCTTTCTCACAACACCGTGTTCATGGCCTGTTGGAAACACGTGTTGATCCTCAGCGTAGACCCGCACCCAGAGGTTCAAGATTTTGCGGCTACCATTGTGGATTACATGCACAACGCCTTGATTAATTCCAGCGTTGGAGCGCCAGCGCAAGGCCTGATGGCAGAAATTCAGAAGTACGCCCAAAAGGCAGCAAGTCACCAGGCCACCAGCTCAAGCCAGCGGATCGGTCTCATGGGTGCGACCAGCACAGCCCCCCCTCCATCGCCAGGCCTCTTGCGGAGAACCGCAAGTTTGCTCTTCCCATCATTGATTAGTGGAGAGGAGAAGCCAAGGCCGACGACGCCCTCCTCGATTAGCGGCGGAGGCCCTCCCAGATCACCCTCATCTATTCAATTTTCCGCTCCGCCAGAGCAGAATGATTTTGTCAATGGTCACGCAACCTACAACGCTGCCCCCGAACCCCTCTCCGGGGCATTCGAGACACGAGACTTGTCTGAGGAGCCTTCCTTACCTCTGTCTAGCGGTTTCCTGGATTGGGCGATCGAGTATTTCCGGGAACCCCAGATGAAACCGAGCGAGGCAGATGAGCCAGGAAGTACGGAATACAATGAACGCTTGTGGAGGCGTTCGAGGAACGAGACAATTTTGAGGGAAACCCAGCCGATGAAACAATTTGCAGGTAGCCATAGGTGGAACAACCAGCTTGGTATCGTCAACAACGGGGCCCAGCCGGCTAAAATGACGTTCCACCAGTTCGAGGACCATTTGGCAGTATCCGACGATGGCAACACTGTCAACGTTTGGGATTGGAAGAAACAAGGCCGGCTGAGCCGGTTCAGCAATGGGAACCCCTCAGGGTCCAAAATTAGTGACATGAAGTTTATCAACGAAGATGACCAAGCAATCTTGCTCACCGGGTCCTCTGATGGCGTTATGAGAGTATATCGGAACTATGACAGCGATCAAAACATTCAGCTTGCATCAGCATGGCGCGCTTTGACACATATGATCCCGAGCAATGTCAACTCGGGCATGGTGTTTGATTGGCAACAGGTGACCGGACGAGTCCTGGTCGCAGGGGACGTCCGAGTGATTCGTGTATGGTACGCCGCTCATGAGACATGTGTGATGGATATTCCAGCAAGATCCGGATCCTGTGTAACGTCGCTGACGTCGGATCAAATGACGGGAAATCTCTTCGTGGCCGGATTTGGTGACGGCGCTGTCCGAGTATTCGATACACGCTGCAGACCACAAGAATCCATGATCAGGAAATGGAAAGATGAAAATGATCGACAATGGATCAAGAGTGTCCACATGCAACGAGGAGGCCAGCGAGAGCTGTTGAGTGCAAGCCGCAACGGCAAGGTCAAAGTGTGGGACATCCGCATGGACAAGCCGTTGCACTCTTTCCAGGTTACACGGGACACCCTCCGAACCGCCAGCACGCATGAACACCTACCGGTATTTGCAGTGTAAGTCCTCATTCACTTTGAACTGGCGAGTTCTTTTTCCTATGACAAAGGCTAACATTTGAGAATAGGGGAACATCTGCTCATGAAGTGAAGGTTTTCAACCTTGATGGACGGCCACTCTCCCGGCTTGAGCCATACTCGAGCTTCTTGCACCAGAACCGCGGATCTCCTATCTCCGCTACTGCATTCCATCCTCACCGGCCACTTCTGGGGTGTGCGTCTCAAGGTGATCACCATATCAACTTGTTTACGTGCGAGCAAGCGGAACCGCTGCATTTGGGCTAGATACCTATTGCTTGGAGGTCAACCTCGCGTCGGACAAGCTCGTTTTAGAGTCTGGTGAGTTTTCACGGGGGTTGCGGCCTTTGTCTTGATACCATTCAGACATGCATCCTCTCTCGTGAGAGCCATTCCATGGCCCTCTCCAGCTTTTCTTTTCAGACTAAACTTCAGTTACACGGATCGGCGTTTGGGGGAAGATGAGGTGGTGGAGACGGAGATAATATGTATGGAGTTCTGGCTGCAATGCCAACAGCATTTGCATTATTTTGGGTTTGTGATGGTGGTGACACCAGGCTATATTATACTTATTAATGATGGCTGAAAGCGCCCAACGAGACGCAGCCTATCAAGTTAATTCTCACATGAAATCTGCTAGTAATGCCGGCTGGCCAGGTTCTCAGCCTAATCGCCAACTTAGATGCAATTTTCAAGCTGGATACGTGATGTTTCGTTTACCATGGTGGTATGTGTTGTGCATGGGAAGCTACGGAAAGGGGAACATGGGAAGGCCCACCCTTAATACATTCTTGTTTGACAAGACGAACATTTAATGAATATCAGTAAACGATTCATGTCAACAGAGTCCCGCGGAAGGCGAACAGTGCGTAAGAAGAATAAGCACAAGGTGTGTTGGTAGTTGGTGATGGGTGAGAAGGGGCCTAAAGTGGGGCAATGTCGGCGTTAATGGGGCCTGTTGCGAGAGCTGTACGTATGCAGGGAAAACTGGATTATGCAGTGCAGTCATGAAACCGGCCAACTCCAGAGACCGGGGCGCTTTCTGGATAGAAGGACAGGAAGAGTTTCATTCAGGTATGTTGGTCCTGTCCCAGCGGTACGGAGTGGGTACGCCCTTCCCGTCCATTTGCATTCCAGCACCCGCTCTGCTCTGTGCGTGCCATGGACTCGGGACTCGCTGGAATCATGGTACTGCGGTGCCCGTTCGGGTATCATGGGCGACTCGCGCCCCTCTACGATGCATGGACCGGCACATTTTGCTGCAAGGCAAATGCGGACCAGTTCAGTTGCCTCGTCGGGGCTAGGCGGCGGTTTATATCACACCGGTAGGCAATGCCCACATTTCCATGCAGTCATCATGCTGGGCATCATGGGCTTCGGGGTCGAATCAGACGGCAGAACAGCTACATAGAGTACCTGGCGAACATTGATGTGGTGCCACCTCTTTCGTCTTAGCGCCCTCGCCGCTCTTGCTCATCTTAGTTCTTGTTAGTAGAACGGCTCACTCAGATGACTAACGCCTAAGTTATCTATGTGAAGAGTTGGACAAGATAGAATCTTGTAACTACTTAACTACCAATCTGATTGAAAAAGGACGAGTTACCAAATTAGACAGGCTCCTTTGCAGCCACTAGATGCAACAGAATAATTGTATTTTTGTTTGATAAAAAAAAGGTTCTATAGGTAGTTTTCAGTTTCAAAATATTCTCTATCCTTATTCCTAGGGGTGAGTGTACGTGGTGGTCTGTCGTCTCATCCCCTTTTCAACACACTTGCTTGACTACATTGCAAGAAAGTCAGCGAAATTGCCACTGCACTTTTTAGACTTTGTGTCCTTCGGCTGCTTGGAATTTCCCTTGAGAACCTTCTGCTTTTGTTGGTTGGGCTGTGTTGGGTTCTTCTTGCCGGCCGGACTCTTCTTGCCGGCTGGGCTCTTCTTGCTGGCTGGACTCTTGGACCCTTTGGTGGCTTTCTTGCGGCCCCCCTGGAGCCGAGACGGACTTTCTTTGCGCTTCAGGCCCCTGCGCTGTGTTGAACGTCTCTTTTGGCTGGGCCGTTGACGCTTAGCCGGGGCTGATACTTGAAGTGACCTCTTGGCTGGTCCTCCTGGTAGTTTGGGTGGTAGAGTAGGATAGGTCAACTTCTTCTGGCACTTTCGACTGAAGTATGTAGCAGATGCGGTGAATCCCCAGTTGTCTGCATTCCAGGGACTGAGGTCCGCTTTGCAAATGCCCTCCGTTGTTCCGCCTGGGGCAGTAGGGCAAACGACCTTCGCACTGTTGAGTACTGGACGTTGTACGCTCAAGGCACACTGACGATCGAGAATCCCTTTGGCCAGTTTGACGCAACCTTCATAGCCGTAGACAATGTCGTAAGCTACACTGCCTATGACCGCGGGAGGGTTTAGAAGGGCCTTCATAGGTGCCATCACGTACTCCGTGTGCGCAGATTCGTGAATCAGGCTCTGAGCTCTGGTCCGGTGGGCCTTTCTAATGTCCATATTCGCACATTCTGTCTGCTTCAGCATGGTCTCTGTTGACTTTATACCGTCCGCAGAATCGACGAAAAACTTCTCGCAAATTTTCAGAATTCCACCTGCGTTGATGTGGGCAAGAACCCCCTGGTCGCACATGCGATCTACTTCCCCTGGTAGTTGGCAGCTAACTTTCGTACTCTGGCCTTGATGGGTAGAATCGAGCACTGGGTGAAGTCAGCCTACTGGTCTATTGAAATTAACGCTAGATTTCCCCCCCAGACGTTTCAAAATAGACATTTAATGTACAATAGAGCAACGAAGGGGAAGAAGGGGCGATAAAAGAAGGGGTGTACCTACCTTGGGTCATTCGAGTAAAGACGTCCTTTGAAGCACTAGCGAATCCGGGATTGGCTCGAGTCCCAGCATCAAAAAACAGTGACAAATAGTCGTTGTTTGGGTGGTCTTTCGCAGCCTCTGCCATCTCCTTTGCGTACTGAAATTCCTTTCCCAAGATTTTCATCTTGGCTCCTGCGCATGAGGGCTTAAACTCTACACCCGCAACACAAAACCGAGCGGAAACGAGAAGAGCCCCCAGAGCCCGTAGAAGAGGATTGACTTTCATTTTGGGAGAGTGCGTAGGAAAGTTGTAAGGTGTTCTGTGGGCGAGATAAATTTGCTTGGAAATCTCATCCCCAAGGCGTATTGTGGTCGGTATTTATACAAAGCGTCCTAAGCTCTCTTCAGTGTGTCCAGAGCTGAGGCTCTATTTAGAGCCAACATTTACGCTCCGGATCAGTGGTCTAATTTCCAAACTAATTGGAGGCTTAGTGTGACCTTGGTGATAAAACGCCTTGAGTTGGGAGGGGGGCGGACCAACAAAGGGGAAAATCCATGTCTGCGGTGCGAATGTAATGCATTTCCAACGTAATGTGAACATGATCCCCTGTAGAGAATTCAAAGGAGTTTTCTATTTTTGCACACTCTCCTCAGACCAACAATCATTCATATCATATATAATGCAGTTGGTGGACAGCTACCTGAAAATAACTGCTCGGATTGCCTCATAAGGAAACGGCTGTTGGTTGTAGATAGGATTCCACATATGACAGTGAGTAAGCCGAAATGGAACTTTGAACAGGATGGCTGAAATGAGGGATTAACTCAGATGAATGAAACCTCGGGCAACATTTCGAGCCTTTCTCAAGAAAACATGTCTGCTTTGCACACACCCAGCCGGTACAATTCAGAAATCACGACACGCCGCAGGATACCCACTTTTACCCAGAGTTAAATACCCTGATTCTCCCCATTGCAGTCGATAGATGTTACGGCAATCTCCCTCCAAACAAGGAATAGAATCATGGCCAATGTTCAAGAACCCTCACCACCTGTACTCGACGCCTCTGATCGCATGTAAGTAACCCATATGCCATTTAATTTTGTGGCCCAATTTTAATTCATTCAACACGTTCAGACCAGAAGCGCCTATTCTTAGTGTGACTCTAAGTTGTCCGCCCACGCTGGGATGGAATCGCACTGAGTTCCGCATCCAGTTCAAGGTGACATACCTAGGGGCTTCGGATAGTAGTACGCACTCAGCTGAGCCGATCATCTTCAATAAATGGGGATTCCTCGAAAATGAGGGACTATGCCGGGGCACCCAACTCTTCCACTTCCACGATGACCGCTGGGAGGCGGTTGAGGAGGATGTGGTTTGCACTGGGGCCGGCTTTGTGGACGATCCTGATGTTGCCGTATGCCCTGCGAATCATAAAAACTTCATTCGCCTGGCGCCTGGGGAATCATGGACCTTTAACACTTTGATCCAGGAAGACACGTGGAACACTCTACCTCAGAAGACTAAGCTGGGCGACAAGTTTCGATTTATATTCAAGGGAGCAGAGGTGGACTGGTGGGTTTGGGGCGGCGCTGAGCAACATCAGGATACTACTGTCATGCTATCTTGCTACGAAGGAGGGCCCGTTAGAGACCCAGCAGGTAATGAGGGGCGACCGAAGTTACTGGTCCCAGGGTCTAATTGGGTTCAGTGGACGGTTGTTGAGTAGCTTATGTCTGATAGCAAACGACGTATGGGTGACAGAGGCCATATGATTGTGGTACTTCTTGAATGAGTAAATTAGCATAGCTATACTGCAAAATTTTCCGGTGAAGCAGAGAACCTGGCGGCCTAGGTTAATGTTTATCATACTACTGGTATGATTGGACCATTCAATAGATTGAGAGAATCATGTGTTTCTGTCTTGTTGCCTTAAAGCGGCGCTGCTCAGGGAAGCTGCCGACACCAGGATCAAACCTACCTACATATGGGATTGTCAGGCACTGTGAGGCCCTAGGCAGGTACTAGGTAGCTGCTGGAGTGACGCCACCTTGTTGGTCAGTGGAGAGACAGACTGCCCAACCCCCCGGCCGCCACCCAGTAACCCGCAGGTCCAGGCGCCGAGGAACCCATGGAGCCCTGTAGCTTAGTAGGCGCTAGGCCTTGCCTTAGCGCCTCTTACATGCTGCCTCCGCTCGTCTGTCTGCGCATTGGTCAACGCCAGATGGCCGATGAGACAGACGGCCTGGTGACCAACTTCTCTTCCTGCTGTGCTGCCTCTCCCTCTCCCTCCTGACTCGACCTTCGTTCCAGCTGCATCCCCGCCACCTCTCTCTACGTTTTGCCAAGCGGAACGCCGCCAATTGAGAGCTGTTCCGTGTCGGGAGCTGAGCCCACCCTCCCCAACAAGCAAAATCGACCCCGCCCCCAGCTACCACAGAAAAAAATAAAATCACCGTACTTTCACCACGGAGCAAGAGGGCAGTGAAGCAGCACAATTGCCATGTCGCTGAATGTCGACAGCGAGTACCGTCGGGGTCACTCGAGGTCCCGATCTCGAGATGATCGCAAAAGAGACGACAGAGGCCCGGCCGACTCGACAAGCTACGTCTATCCCGGAGACGACAGCTACCAGAGATCCAGGAGCCGAAGTGACGTAGGCTCCTCCGCCCCCAACGGCAGTGGCCTACCATACCCAACCGAAGGAGGGCTGTCAGAAATGGTCCCGGGAACTCACTACGGCTACGACCCGTCCATGCCTTCCTACACCTCGGCTCCGACCTCGGGGCCCATCTACAGCGGGAGCTCGCGTGACCAGGCCACGAGCCAGCCACCTGGCGCATTCCCGAGCGACGGGCACCAGCTCGATCCTCACATCCAGACCGTCGAGCCGCCTGCGTCGAAGAACGACAAGTCCAAGAGCGACCGCCGTTCCCAGTACGGCTCCGCCGCCGACGCCGACAGGCTCAGCAGCTTCCTGCCGCAGAAGTACGGCAAGCCCAAGGACAAGGAGTCCAAGCCTGAAGCGAGTGATTCTAAAAAGGCCAAGGACGACAAGTTCAGCTTCCTGCCCCAGAAGTACAGCTCCAACGCCGACGAGGACGAGAAGCGTCGTTTGCAGGGCCACGCGCCGAGCCCCAGCGGCAGCTCGCACAAGTTCGACCCCTCCAAGTATCTGGAACACCCGGGGCAGTCTGTGAAGTCGTACATTTCCGATCAAAAGGACCGTCACAAGATGAAGAAGGAGCAGCTGGAGGAGGACCTGGCCTATGGAAAGTTGCCTCCGCAGGAAGCTGCTGCAGCCGGCCTCGGATCGTCCTATGTGCCTCGTCCGTCGTCGCAGGTGGGAGACAGGCCACAGTCATCACTTCACCCCGGACACGACGACCCACGTTGGTACCGACCTACAAGCCCGGCCGCCAGTCAGGCTGATCCGAGGAGACCCCATCGAGACTCCTTCCACGGGGAAGATCCTCGAAGCTCTCAGCCCAATGTGTATACTGTGGAGCCGCCGCGAAGCAGCAGAGACCGAGACCGATCTCATGAACGCAAGCGTGACAAGTCTCGCGATCGTGGGTTCCTTACGGTGGATGGTCACCGCAGGGATAAGTCCAGGGACAGGTCAAGCGATAGGTCAAGAGACAAATCAAGAGACAGGTCAAGAGATAGGTCGAGGCACAGGTCGAGGCATAGATCCAGATCGAGGAGCAGGTCCAAGGAGAGAACCAGCGATAAGAAGAGCAGTCGCCATGACAAGTCTCCGGCGCCATCCTCTCGAATGTCCAAGTTGTCACTTGGCACGGGAGCCGCCACCTTAGGTGTTGCTGGCATGGCCATGGCGGGCGGAGCATCGCCGCTGCTTGAAGCATACCGTGGTACCTACCAACAGTCCTCGCCTATGCCATCGCCTCTTCTTTTGCCGACGGGCCACCCATCTGACGTTGAGCCGCTCTCGCCTATCGCATCAGATGATGACGCAGAAAGGAGACGCAACAGACGGGCTCGATTCCATTGCGCTGAAGATAGCGCTGAGCGTCTGGCAAAGGCCCTCAGGGGCGAGGGACCCCCAGACAAGGAACCACTCATCGAGATCCTTCCTAGCATGACCCACGAGCAGGTGATGGAGCTTCGTGTTCAGTACAAGCAATTGGTCAAGACGGGATCGCATCGGAAAGGCGTTAATATCGCAAAGCACATCCGAGCCCGTCTTAAGGATGAGAACCCCAACCTCATGAAGGCCTGTTACGCAGTGGCACTGGGCATGTGGGAGAGCGAAGCCTACTGGGCCAACTTCTGGTACCATGGTGACAAGACGCGCCGAGAATTGCTCATAGAGTCACTCATGGGCCGAACCAACGATGAGATTCGCTACATCAAGGATGCCTTCACTGATAAAAAGTACGACGACAGTCTGACCAAGTGTATGAGGGAAGAGCTCAGGGAAGACAAATTTAAGAAGGCGGTCATGATGGTGCTTGATGAACGCAGGATGGACGAATATGACTCTCACGGACGTAGAGTACCTGTCGACATGCAGTTGGTTGACGACGATGTGGAAGCCCTACGCAAAGCTATTAAAGCAGAGAAGGGAGGCGAAAGCTTGATGATTTCGGTTGTCGTGACAAGAAGCGATTCTCACCTCCGCGAGATCTTGAACGAGTACGACCATCGCTACCGTGCCAATTTTGCCCGCGATGCTCTCAAGAAGAGTGGCAACCTCGTGGTATGCTGAACCTTTCTTGTTTCTTGGGATTCTTTGCTCCCCTCCCCCCAATGATTCATTTTTGCTGACATATTTCTTATTTAGGGCGAGCTCCTGGCTCATATCCTGAACGGCGTGATCAACCGTCCTGTGCGTGATGCACTCCTTCTGCACCATGCGCTCACTGCCTCCCGAAAGGATGAGCTTAGACACGAACTACTCACCTCGCGCTTGGTACGCCTACACTGGGATGCGACGCACATGGCTGCTGTGCGCCACGCGTATAGATCGCGGTACAACAAATCACTCCAAGATGCTGTAAAAGAGGCAACCTCTGGCCACTGGGGTCAGTTCTGCCAGGAGCTCTGCATTGCCAGGGTCCCGAACGACGTCCGGAGGTTTGAAAAGGTTGCATTTAGTTCCAGGTAACGGTCGACATATAACGAGTTTATGAATCAACGAGCTAGTTAGCCATTCAATATATGTTAATGATTTCTGCTACACGCACTGGAGTGGCGAGAGGCCTCTCTTTGACCGATGAGCTTATTCTTCGTATTGTTGTTCTAGTCTCCAAAGACTGGAATCTATATAGTCTCTCACCCACTTCTAAGAGAGAGTTTATTTCTTTGAACCCTTTCCACCTCTTCCTTTCCCGCCACCTCCCCTTCCACCGCCCTTCCCTCCACCAGATCCTTTCCCGCCTCCGCCGCTGGAGCCGCCGCCGCCTCCCGACATCATCACACGGACCTTTCCCACTGGTATGCTGTTGACGACCTCCTCGGGCTTTAGGGCTTTGATCAGCTCCACCTCTCGCGGCCACATCCTCTCGCTATCCCTGGCGTGCTCGTCCACAACATTCTTCTTCCCGCTATCCAGCTTCAGCCTCTCGAGGATCTCCTTGACCGCCTTGCCCTTCTTCATGGCTCCGGGCTGCAGCTTGACCTTGTACTTGAACTTGCCCAGGGCGTTCCAGGGCGCGCAGACCGGTATGAGCTCTGCGATCTCATCCCCCGGCAGCGGCGTGCCAACCAGGGCGTCAATGGACGCCAGCTTCTCCTCCTCGCCGTCATCCGGCAGGTCGATCCCCTCGTCCATCATTTGCCGGCGGACCTCTTCGTGCTTGGCCGCCTCCTTCTGCTGCTTCTGGTGCTGGGCGCGGCGGCGCTCCCTCATCGCCTCCAGTTCCGCCTCGCGGTCCTCTTTGGCCTTGGCCTCGGCCTCGGCCCTCTTCTTTCCCAGCGCGGCACCGAGGACGGCTTCCGCGGCAGCACGGTCTTCCTCGTCCTGATACTTGTACTTGGCGGCAATCTTCTTAGCCTTGCCTTTTTGGCCTCGCTTTGCTGGTGCTTTCTTGACGGAGCCGGCGCCATTATCCTTGGTTGAGGGGCGGGGTTGCGCCTCACTGGTGGAGGCTAAATCCTCCTCCTCGTCGGGCTTCTGATCTGGGCTTTCTTCTTCGCTTTCTGCTTCGTCCGCGGCCTGTTCAGTCAATTTCAGGTCCGAAACCTCCTGCTCGACCTGAGCCACGGCATTCTCTGCCTCATCGACTTCGGAGTGCTGCTGCAATGGATTGTCACGCTTGTCCTGATCTTCGTCCTCGCCCTCGCCCTCGTCCTGTTCTTGTTCGGACTCGTCATCTTTATCTTCTAGCGTGTCAAGTGATTCCGCGGCAGTGAGATCGTCGCCTTGCTCCTCATCAGCTTCGTTGTCGGTTTTGGTCGAGCTACCAACGGCCGCGGCTGGATCATCGAGCCTGTGTTTCACATGTCGGGCCTTGCTAGCATCACTGATCTTGAACATGAATCCAAAACCCATTAGAAGTTGGGCAGGAGGCAAGAAATTCTTGTTACCCTTGATCGTGAAACTGCCCGGAGGTAAGATCTCCCCTGTAGATGCAGACTTGGACACCTGCTCTGCGTTTACCCACCATGCACCCATTCCAGCTTTCGAGTCCCATGCGTCAGAGGAGCAAACGGACAGTGTCCCTGCTTGGGATAACGTTGCAGGTGGGATCGGGGCATCTGGCGTGTTGACATTGTTCTTGATGATGACACTGGATGCACCTCGTAGATCAGCGTGGCAGTAAACATCTCCCTTCCGTAAATGCCTCTTATACAGCATTTCATTTTGCAATGCGTCTTTGCCACCAATCACCAGATATCCGTCTGATGAGATGAACCAAATGAACTTTTCGAACCACATCAGCTGTCGAATAGGCTGTAGTAATGCTTTCTCCTGCTTAAGGCCCTTTTTCAGGTCTTCGTGAATTCGTTGCTCGGTATTCTTAAGGGCACGTGTAGATTGCTGCTGAGTTTTCTCCTCCTTAACAGCAGCGGTTTTGCGCTGGTCATAGTACTCCCTTGCGTTGCTCCAGGGGCTCAAGCCCAAGTTGATGTCAATAGATAGTGACTTCCCCTGTGCCTGACCTCCCGCCTTTGAGCTAGCAGTATCGTTATCTTCAGACTCACTGTCAGTCTCGAAGGGGTCCTCGTCCTCGTCCGGTTCATCGTCTTCCTCTGCAAGCGCAAGAGTGATGACATTTTCGTCAAGTTTCAACGGGAGCTTTATCAGTTGCGCAACGGGGTTGCTGCGCTTCTTTTCACGCTCGATGAGCTTTCCGATATTCACCCAATCCATTCCCTGAGCCAAAAGGCCGTTGACTGCATCCATCGCTTCCTGGACCCATTCCACGTTGGCTTCGATGGCAGCAGCCTTGCGGAGGTTTACGTTCTGGACTTCTTGTAGACCCTCGATTCGCTTGGCTTGTTCCTGTCTGGCACTTTCAAGTCTTCTCTTGGCCTGCGCCTCTCTCTCGCTGAGCCTGGACTCCAACTTTTGACCTTCCAGCGATGAGAAAAACTCATCCACTGTTTGGTTATACCCATCAAACTCCAACACTTTGATAGACGGGTCTTCTTGGAATTTTTTAGGGCAGAATGGATGGAAATCTTCGTACAAGAGATTCTCTCGTCTGTCGTCGACCTCCTCCTCTCCACCAGAAGCCACCCGATACTTGGCAAAAATATATCCTTTGCATTGCGAAGTAGATATAATACTCTCAACCAGATCTCGAGCCTCGGACAAAGATTTCATCAGCTCATCCAAGAGCGTCTCACTAGCGAGGATATCCGCCAACGGCTTCGAAAGATCAAAGCTATTGGCTTGCAGGGTGTGATCGACCAGCACGGGGGGGACCTCAGTGATGGCACCAGCCAAACTCTTTCTTAACTCGGCCCCCACCTTCGCTTTGCCTTTCTTCAATGCTGACGGGTTCTGGGCCGCTGCTTTGCTAACAGCTGTGGCTAATGCGTTTTTTACCCTCTCCTTGGTTAATGGGGGTATGGTGGGGTAGTTCTGCCGGTTCTCCAGAGAGTATTGGAGGCCTATCCGTTGCGGTTCTTGGCCATCTGCTTCTGATACGTTACGCGCGATAGCCAGTATCTTCAATTCAGCGTCCGTCAAGATCAGGTTTCCGCTCTATGACTCAACGTTAGTTGGGTCACATTCGATAAGCAGCTCGAAGAGAGGAAACCCACAGCAAAGAACTCCAGAAACAAGCGGTATTGTCCATCGCTGAACTGAAATTCTAGTACGCGGTCCGTCCCGATTTGTGTAACCTTTGTCAACCTTCGAGTTTTGAGAACCTTTCGGAGCCGTGCCACAAATACGGAAGGATTGGTGGCGGTGGTGCGCGCAAAGTCGGTCAGATGGCAGCGGAACCCGGTGTCGATAAGGAGTTGTTTCTTGTTGTCGGGTTTCGAGAACTTGAAGAGAAGGATCTTGGAGGAGAGGTCGTAGATGTTGGCAAGCCGCAAAGAGACCAAGCTTTCTTGGAGCTCATGGGCAATGACCTAGTTGGCCGGCAATTAGAGATCGGATCACCTGGGCCAGCACTCATGGCAGTGCAACCTACCTTGACGTCCAACGACGAGAATCTTTGTTTCATGTTCAAGGCTGGACTTGACTTCCCGAGACAGATCGCAAGAATCCGGGCAGCACATACCAATTTGTGGAATGGTGATGCTCTGCTTCCACGGCAGGCAAGCAGCCATACCCAAAACGAGGGGCACTTTACTATGGCGGGGCACAGGCGAAAATCGCTGCTGACATCACATCACGTGGGGAGCAGTTGCCCTAGCTCTCGCTCTCCTGGCCAGGGCGCCATGTTGTCAATGCAAGAAAGCTCCCGGCACGGTGTTCATCTTGGTGAGCTACGTGTACTAAACCATCGTGGTGAGATCCCGGGACGTAGATCATCGTTCATGCTCATTGACCGCCTGAGGAACGGGCTGCGTTGGCGAGCTGGGGGAGCTCTATGCCTAGCTTGGATGCACGTGACTCGACCCGTAGCAGCAAAATCGCAGGCGCCCAGGTAGGTCGGTCCCGTAGATTGTCATGGATACCTACAGAGCACCGGGGCAATCGAAGCAGAGCTTGCGTGCAGCGAAGACCGATAAGCAAGACATCTCTCCATCGGCCTCCGCCCCAGCTTTGGGGCAGCCCAATCCCCAGAATAAGACCCAGTCGTATAACTGGGCAAGCCGATCGCAGCAATGCCGCGATCATTCATGCTAACAGCTCGCGCACCATCGCCCAGGATTATCGACCGAGGTAAAACCTAGACCTGCCAGCAGCGCTTGGATGAGAATTGCACATGTAATCATAAACTCTACCGATTCCTACAGCCGAGAGGACGCGCCCGTTGCTGCAAAAGCCACACCCCGTGTTCTAGTCGCGTTGGACGGAAGGAAGGGCTGGCCCGAGCTGCGATTGGATGCTCGGGCCCACAGCAATTCAATGAGCTTCCAAGCCAAGGACGCTTGTTGTCCCAGCAACTGCGTTAGAGCGCAAGCTACCCCTGGTTTTCAGCTGAGCTTGCGCCCCTGAAGCTGGGCCCCATGTGTCAACACGAGCGGGAGAGATGGAGGCAGACGCAGGAGACGGGGGAAGGAGGACGACAACAACAAGCAAGAAGAGGAGCCGTGATCTCCCAATCTTCACAGCGAGTGGCTAAGGGGGCGGGGAGAAGACATGCATGGCCATTGGGGCCCAATTGGCAATCAGATTGAATCATCTTAGCCCCGATGGCTGGGACAAGAGCTCCAGCGATTGGCTCAAAGACCGGGGAAGAGCACCACCAGCGCCTCACTTATCAGGTTGGACGGCTCAGAAGTTGCATGAAATACGGGAGCTCTGCTGGAGAGATCCAATGACGGCGCTCCACGACACACGCCTTGATAGCCTGAGCTGAGGGCAGCCGAGGAGGTTGGGACTGTCTTACTTCGAGGCGCCGGAGGTCGCGGCCTCCCAGCCACCCCTATTACAGTGCATACAGTGTGTCAGGATGCCGCTGGGTGCGCGCGCTGTTCAGCACTTGCATTTGGCGATCATCATCAGCAGACGGGAGGGGAGCCCAGCCAGGATCAAAT